AACACTAACATTAAAGAGTTTCATTATTTTTTTAAGTGGTATCACTTTCTTTTTTTCATTTCAAAACTTTTTAGGAAATTGCTTCAATTTCTTCTTCTTCAATCTTCCGAGCATCTCCAATGAACTCTTTAAATTAGATATGTTAGTTATTACAGCTTGTCTCGTGATATTTTACCTCCTCCGATGGATTAATTACTACACTAATTATTTTAATAAAAAAAAATTCAAGCTAGCTACATGGGAAGAGTTTTGAAAGGTTTTTTTTAACAGTTTATATATAAATAGTTAAGTAAAACAAAGAGTAGTGTTGGAACACATGGATAATAAAGTGTATTGTTTTTTTTATACTTTCAATTTGTAGTTTTTAATTGTGATTAGTTAGGATTTGATTTTCTGAGAATTTTATAGCATACACATTGCCATCCTCTAAAAGATGAAAATTTTATGTTACAAGTTTCACAATTTTTAATGTTTTTCATAATGAAATTTGGTTAATTTCAAGTAAGGCACAATTCTTTCGTTCCACAGCAACTTGTGAAAGTAAGTTCACAAATATTTCTATTTATTGCCAAAAAATAGCTAACTTTTTAGAATTTTATTTTATCTCAGATAGCATTCATTTTTAAAAAAAAATTCTATGGATTTTAAGTCTTGAAACCCTGAAAATTTGTTCTAAAATGATGTTACAAAAAATATATATATATATACACAAGAAAAGGCAGTTACAAAATTGGGCCTCATTTTTGTTGCAAAAAAGCAAATACAAATCTGGGTCTCATCATAAACTTTTTTTTGGTACAATTACCTCTATTCTCTTGTACTGTCAGTCTTACAAGTTTATTTTCCTTAAATTTGTGCCTAATTCTATTTTTGTTTTGGGCACTCGAGCCATAAATTTAAATTTGACACATCGAGGGCAATGGCTCCAAATTCTATTCTTTTTTTTTGTCAAAAACGACAATAATAATTTAAAAGATCATATTATTCTTCTATCTATTTTTTTTATCTATTCATCTATTTGTCCAACTATCTACTTGTCTACCGGCAACGACTTTTTCAATGAGCCACCAACGGGCAAGCAACAATGATTTGTGATGATTGATAATAGTGTGCGAGAATAGATAATAGTGTGCGAGAATAGAGAGAAAAAAAATAGAGATAGAAAAAGTACAAGAGTAAAAATAGAAAGAAAAAAAAATATTTTTCAAAAAATTTTGTTCTTATAACCAAAACAAATAAATCATTGAACTTAATATCATATATATCACCATTATTTTACTTAATGAAAAAGACATTTATGCACAAAACATTTAGCCAAGTCCATCCAACTCACATATCATGTCAAAAAACAGGCCGAACTATATTAGTGTATTGCAGTTAATGTAACATGATAATTATTGTAAACGTTAGTTTGGTTTATTTTGATGAAATATATTTTTGAACGAGAAATATTTTCTATAAGAATCTTTTTTCAAAAAATGTTTTCAATATTTTTTTGTATGTTTGGTTATATTAGACTAATGTATTAATAATTGTATTAGTGATGGTGACAAGGTAGAAGTGGACGTCGTGGTGGCGGTGACGGTAGTAGCGATGACAATAGTGGTAGTGGTGGTGGGGGCAATAGAGGTGGCGGTGTGATAGTGAAAGTGGTGACAGTGACAGTGTGATAATATTAATAATTCTTTTGCCTAAAAACGATTTATGCTTGTTAAAAAAAATTTATTGACTTTTATTTTTTATTGTACTAAACAATAGAAAATGTAAAAAACAAATAAATAAATAAATAAAATAAAATGTGTTACAAACAAATAGAGTGTAAAGTGAACCATAATGTTCAAATCTCATTCATTCTTCAAAACATTTTTTTTTTAAAGAAAAAATAAATAAATAAAAAGCCTAACTATTATAGAAGCAGTGGTAATACATGCACCAATTAATGTATATACTAATGTACCAACTAGTGTTATATCATTATTACTGACTCCACCATTATACAAATTACAAATACTCAAAACCTTTTAAAATTATGACACTCATCTGTTATTATACTAGTTAGTACATTAATTGATATATATATAGCATTATTTTTACCAAAGTGACAGTTTAATTCAAGTTAATAATGTCAAGATTGTTTGGGATGACCTAAATAAGTGTACTTTTTATCTTTTTACGAAAAGATGTGCAGAAAAATAAAGAAGTGATGTGATGAAAAAAAGATAAAAAGATAAATTATTTGAAGTGCGCCAAACGTAGCCTTATTTGCCTTGTTAAACACGATTAACAGGTGAGGATTAATTGACTAAATGTAGTTGACTCCTAAAACGTGACGATTTATAAGAATGTGTCAAAATTCTTTAATGAGATTGAAAACAAAACAACGTAAATGTCTTCATTTTTACACATCTATACAAAACAAAACATTATTAATTAACAATATTCTGATTTTGAATATTTCAATAGCACGCGCCCCAAATGATTGACTTACATTTTTTTATATATATATTTAATTAGAAAATGAAGCTATATTTTATATCAGAACCGATTGAGAGCTCGAATCGAGCTCCCTCGAATTCCCCGAATTGACGAAACGACGTCGTTTCGTCGTTTTAATTTTTTTGTTTTTTTTTCAATAAGAAAATCAGAAGCAGAAGGAAGAAGACGAATAAAGAAAGAAGAAAAGAATAAGAAAGAAGAAGAGAAAAAGGCAGAGGCGGAGGCGACGGCGGTCGGGTGCAGGCAGAGCCGGAGGAGCTGTGAAGATTCGCCGAGCTGCGACGATCGGACGATCGGTCGGAATACAGGGGCCTCTGTGTGTGTATGTGTCTCCATTCCCTCTTCTCTCTTCTCTCCCTCTCTTTCTCTCTCTCCTCTCCTCTCTCTTTCTCCCTCTCTCTCTTTCTCCTCTCCCCTCTCTTCTCTTTCTCTCTTCTCTGTTTGATTTGGGGGATTCGGAGGGGGTTGGATTCGGGGGAAAAAACATTTCTGATTTTATATTTTATTTAACTTCAAACGAGTTTAGTCAACAAAGTGATTTACTTAATTCTAATTAAATAATCTAATAATATGTTAATATATTCAATGATGTTTAAATGAGTTAAATTGAGTTGAATAACATGTTGTTTAAATTGATTTTTTTTTTAAAAAAAAATATTGAATCAATCGATGAGTGTTAATCAATTATAGATTGAGTAATTTGATTTTTATATAATTTTATTATACATATAAATTTATAGAACTGAGTTTGAATTAAATTTTTAAAAAATTACAAGTTTTAAATATATTTAAATTTAACTTATTTATTTATATAATAAGTTGATTTGAAATAAAATTTTAACAAATCAAGTTGAGTTTGAATACATTTATTTAGTTTTAATTTTAGAGAACACAAGAATTATATGGAATTTCATACCGTGGGTATATGTTAAGAATCTTATAAAAATATAAATAATAAAAAATGTATAATTTTTTAACATGTACCTAATGGAGTTGATTATTTGTGGGATATAATAGCGTCTTCAACCTTTCATCAAATCATTCATTAAATTTAAATTTGATGAAAAAATGATGAAAACGATGCTCCAATGTTGTCATCAATTTGGTATCAAATTAAGGATGTCTAAAACTTTTCATCAAATTGAGGATGACTAGAGTCTTTTATCAAATTACTGTAAATATCTATTAGTATAGGAGTATTCGATGGCCGGATGGTTGTCCCCCAGACATCCACTTCTTTGCAATTTACATTGGGTAATTTACACTGGCCGGTCAATCGATCGAACATCTGTTTAGTCGACAGGTGATTTGATAAAAGTTCAAAATCTTCCGTTAGTGTTAGGTGTTAGTTTTTGGCCAGCCGTTAGTGTTAGTTCAAAATCTTCCACTAGTGTTAGGTGTTAATCTTCCATGGACCCTTTAGAGCATCCACAATGGATGCGTTCGTGAATATGTTAGTGTTAGGTGTTAGTTTTTGGCCAGCCAAAAACATTATTGGGTGTTGCAATGGGTGTGTTAGTGGGTGTTTAGTGTTGTATGTTAGTGTCAGCTGTTAACTTGTGTGTTAACTGTGGCTAGCGTTTTAGTTAGCGAAGGAAGAGAGAGATGTATGCCTGGAGAAGTCTTCCCGGACATCTGGCCGAAAGTCCCCTTGGGCATCCTGTTGGAAATCCACCCTGGACGTCCGAACCCTTCAAGAAAAGGAAAAAAAAAATAAAAAAACACCAAAGGGCCTGCAACACATCCGACCACTAAACCAGCGATCAACTGAATTATTTTATTTATTTTATTATATTTTATTTTTTAACTATTGAGATTTTTTTTAGGCTTGAAATTTAATCTTAGGCTTGAAATTTTTTATTAAATTAAATTATTTATTTATTATATATATATACACATATATATTATTAACACACTCATTACACCACCGCTCACTCTCTAAAATTAACAAACTCTTCATACATCTTAACACACATTTTTAGATCCCACTTTTATTACTTTTTGTCATATAAAACACACCTTAACACACTTTTTTAACCATCCCGTTGTGGATGCTCTTACCTACAGTGCCAAGGTATCTAATGATTTTGCCTTTCTTGGAAACAAGAATGTCGAAACATGAGGCTCAACAATAAAACAAAACCACCCAGGATTCAAGGACATTAACAATACAACATAAAGCTCAATCAATAAACAATAACCAAATGTCCATTAGAGTAACCTTGACAGCCATACAACAACCTCATTTGTTCATGAGAGTAGAATCTGAACATCAAGTACTTCGACAATGGCCGGTCCAACAAAAGTTTTTTTCCCCAAAATTTTCCCATATGGTCTCAACAACCAGGCAACTAAAGCATATTTAGACATAAATTAGCATAACAACAAACTGACAAACAGTTATTGTACAATGCTGCAATAGGATGCACAATCCTAATGACTGAACAAGCAAATCTTGAAAGCTAAGGCACATTAAAATGAGCAAACCTTGATGCTGCCTATGGTCAAGATGACAAAACAACGTCAAAACTAGAGAAAGAGTTAGACGGATTCAAACATGCCACACAAAGCAACAACTCAGTGTTTGACTCAGTGAAACGAGCGTTCAATTCTTGAATTTGCATATCTAAAACAGTGTAGAATAACTCAGCGCGATAGTAATTTAAGTTTGTAATTTCTCGAGCATTGCACATTTGTCTCCCTTGAGCTACAAACATATCTTCCATTTGGGGAACATTAATTTCATGTTTTTCACAAAAAGACAAACTATCATCAAGTAAAGATGTCCATCCACTCTCCCTCATTTTTTGGAGCCGTACTTTAAAATTTTGAACTAAATTCATGGCATTAACAATATCTTGATATTTCCTTTGTAATGCTTGCGATAACTCACTTGTAATAGCCAATATCGTTTTCATCAAATGAAGGTTGAATACAAACTCAAATGATTGAATTGAGTCTAACAATACATTTGCTTCTGCTCGTTGTTTTGAATTTGAACCATTCTCCGAAATCATTTCAAGCATATCAATCACTGTTGAGAACATACTAGCCAAGCTAACTAAAGTACCATAGTGTGAACCCCAACGTGTATCGCCGGCACGTTTAAGAGTAGTTTCTTGATTTAAGCCTTGCCCACTAGATAGCTCTTCAGTATTAAGTGCCTCAGCAACTTTTGCAGCTTGCTTCTCCCTAACAATATCTCGGCGTTTACATGATGCTTCAACAACATTCACCACATTAGAAACCAAAGTAAAAAGTAAAGCAATTTGATTACGATTCTTTGCTACGGTTAGAAGTGCCAATTGCAATTGATGCGCAAAACAATAAACATAATATGCACAAGGATTCTCTTTCAGTATAAGTGTTTTAAGACCATTGAACTCACCTTGCATATTTCTACCCCCATCATATCCTTGACCCTGTAATTTGGAAATACTCAATCTAAGTCTGGAGAATAAATTTTCCACAGCTTGTTTGAGTGAGAGAGCATTCGTATTAGCAACATGCTCAATACCCAAAAAGTGCTCAATCACTTGGCTTTTTTTGTCAACATATCGTATTATAACTGTCATTTGCTCATTGATTGATATGTCACGAGCTTCATCAATCAAAATAGAAAAAAAAAGTGTGTCACCAAGATCTCTAATAATCACGTTGATAGTTTCAAATGCAGCCACATTTACAATGCCTTTTTTAATATCAGGAGATATTAACTTGAGATTCTGTGAAGCATTGCTCAATGCAACCACTTTGACATCTTCATTATGATCAACAAGAAACTTGAGAAGTTCAAGAAATTTTCCTTGGTTACTTGAATTTTCAAATTCATCATGCCCACGAAACTCAAGTCCTTGTCTTAGAAGAAATTTGACACAATCAATCGATGAATTCAAATGGGTTCGATACTCAATTCGAGCTTGATCAAATTGTTTGAAAAAAATCGTTTGACTATGTTGGTTTTGGTTTAACAAGTCTTGACATTTACTCGAAGCTTGATTATGAGCACTATTGGGACCTCCAACATGAGTCCGAATTTTTTCTTTTTTCTTCCAATTTGAGAAACCCTCACCAACAAAAGAATCACCATCAGCTTGATCTCCAATATCGGGTTTAAAAAGATAACAACATAAACAAAATGTTGCATCTTTTGCTACGTTATACTCTAACCAATTAGGAAATTCACTAAACCAAGCCTGATTAAATCGCCAAAGTTTTTGTCCAAATGATTTTTGTAAAAAATTATGATAACGACGTTGACAAGGACCTTTTTGTAGATATGCCCTACGAATTTGGTCTCGATCATTAGCATTATAGTCCATAATCCAAGGTCGTAGTCCTGGATCTGCAGGAAAGTCTACTATGTTGATTTCTATGCGACTTTGTTTTGCCGAAGAATAATTATCATCTTCTTTTTTAGGAAGAGATGATTCCAACTTTGATTTTCTTTTGAAATATTTCTCCATGACTGTTTGAAAAAACTAAACATCAAAATAAAAAGAGATTTTTATTGATAAATCCATTCTAGAGTTTGCAGAATCGGTTTCACGCGGGAGAGGCGGAGAGGGTTATTTCGTCCTTTAACAATTAATGGACCTAATGGAATATTCAGAAACAGTTTGGGTTTTATGGAACAAAACAGTTATAAATAGGACTTATCAAAAAATGGCCCAAATAAAAATTCATAATTAAAATCACAAACCCCTACAAATCAAAGTCTCTAATTTTAATACAAATCAAAACATTTAAATTAGCACAAATCACAACAAATCAAAATTTCTAATTTTAGCACAAATTATAACAAATCAAAATCCCTAATTTAAATATTAATCACTGCAAATTAATATTTTTAATTTTAGCACAAACAACAACAAACCAAAATCCCTAATTTTATTATAAATCACCACCAATTAAGATTCATAATTTTAGCATATCAAAATCTCTTATTTTAACATAAATAATAACAAATAAAAAAATTTTACAAATCAAAACAAATAACTATAAATTAATACTCATAATTTTTATTTAAAAGTAAAAATAAATAAATAAATAAAGTTACTGTAAACAATGAAGAGAAGATGCCAAGGTTGCAGTGTGACCCCAAATCTATGTTGTGTGATTCTAATTTGGTGTATCACGAGTTGGTAAATTACAAACCACTGATTTATAAATCAAAAATTTTACCAAACAAGTTTTTATTTGAGTTTTTAAAATTTTCGTAAATATAAACAGAAAACTGAAAACGTAAGTGTTACCAAACAGCACCTAAATAAATAAAAAAATAAAGAATTTCATATACTTTTAAGGTTTTAGAGTTTTAGTCTTGTTGTAATTGGAGTTAGGTGCACTCACAAAAAAAAAAAGAGTTGTGTGTCAGTATTTGGTTAGGATTGGGATTCTAAAATAAAAAATAAAAAAACAAAACAAACGTGGGTGCGTGTAGTGTGTGTGTCAATGGGTTTGAGATCCATTTGGAGGGTTGTGTATTAGGAGGGGCACTGTGTGTGTGAAAGCCAGGCCCCACTTAAAAAAAATAAAAAAATAAAAAAAATTCAAACGTCAGGGAGGGAACGTGACCCCCCTGAGCCCAATGTCCCTCCACCACTGCTATTACTCACTCTCTAAAATTAACAAACTCTTAACACATTTTAATACACATTTTTGGGCCCTACTTTTATTACTTTTTGTTATATAACACACCGTAACACACTTTTTTAGCCATATCACTGTGGATGCTCTTAGCCACATTGATAATCTAGAGACTATGAACTGTTGCCTTCTACTTGACAAGAAGGTAAGACTTTTATTATATTTGTGGATATAATATTCATTATGCCCAAAACTCATTGATGTGAGTCTGCTTCAACAACATAAACATATTTTTTATTTTTTTTTATTTTTTTATTTTGCATGATGTCACCTTAGTGTGATGTCACCGTCAATTTTCTTTACTTTTTGCACTGTGTCATCAACCTATGCACGGGATTTTTTTTTTTTAACCTTCTTCGCAAATTATATTTTACTATTGCCCATAAGAATAATGATTTTGTAAAAATAATTGAGTAATATACTCCATTACCCTTTCACCATAATTGGTTATTTTGACTTATGTGAGGGATGCGCCTATTGAGCTGGCCGCCTAGATGTTGGGCTAAAAAAGTAGACACTTCTACCACCCCCTATTCAACCATAAGTGATTAGTTTGACTTATATGGGGAAAATGCGCTTATCGAGCTAGTCGCCTTGTTGGGCTAGTGAAGTAGACATTTTCACCACCACCCATTCGACCATAGGTGATTAGTTTGACTTATGTGGGGGAATATGCATATCGAACTAGCCGCCTAAATATTGGGCTAGTGAAGTAGACACTTCCACCACCACCCATTCGACCATAGGTGATTGGTTTGACTTATATAGGGGAATGCACTTATCGAGCTAGTCACCTTGATGTTAGACTAGTGAAGTAGACACTTCCATCACCACCCATTCGATCGTAGGTGATTAGTTTGACTTATGTGGAGGAATGCACATATTGAGCTAGCCGCCTAAATATTAGGGTAGTGAAGTAGATACTTCCACCGCCACCCATTCTACCATAGGTGATTAGTTTGACTTATGTGGGGGAATGCGCCTATCAAGCAAGCCGTCTAGATATTGGGTTAGTGAAGTAGACATTTCCACCACCACCCATTCAACCATAGGTGGTTAGTTTGACTTATGTGGAACAATGCGCCTATCGAGCTAGTCGCCTGTACATTGCTAGTGAATTAGACATTTCCATCATTGCCCATCTAGCCATAGGTGATTAGTTTGACTTATGTGGATGAATGCGTCTATCAAACTAGTTGCCTGTACATTAGGCTAGTGAAGTAGACACTTCCACCACTACCCATTCGGCCATAGGTGATTAGTTGGACTTATGTGGAGGAATGCGTCTATAGAACTAGTCGCTTGGATATTGTACTAATAAAGTAGACACTTCTACCACCACTCATTTGACCATATGTGATTAGTTTAACTTGTGTGGGGGAATGCGCCTATCAAACTAGCCGCATGTACGTTGGGCTAGTGAAGTAAACACTTCCATCACCACCCATTTGGCCATAGGTGATTAGTTTTGACTTATGTGGAGGAACGCGTCTATCGAACTAGTTGCTTGTACATTAGGTTAGTGAAGTAGACACTTCCACCTCCACCTATTCGGCCATAAGTGATTGACCTATGTGGGGGAATACGCCTATCGAGCTAGCTGCCTGTATATTGGGCTAGTGAAGTAGACACTTCTACCACCACCCATTCGACCATAGGTGGTTAGATTAATTTTTCACCATGAACATGTCATTCACACACTCACTATCATTTATTTAATTATATGTTTGCAACTTCTAATTGATGTAGCTTGTCATAATGCATTCATACTTGAGCATACATGTCCCCCAAGAGAAGTAACATAAAAGTAATGGTCAAAGGACTTTTTGTTGTTGTTGTTTGTCATGACCCAAACCCACCCCTATGGGTTTAGCACCGTAACCGGCCAGTAATCCAAGATTACCGAAGGCCTGCTTAACAGTAACACAGTAATCCAGAGTACAGGGGCATGGCGGAAGCCAAAACAATAAATAAATAATGTCCAATGAGCTGTGACAGTCTGTATGCCAAAAAGACTTTTCATACACATATACATGAACAGTATGTACATACCAACAGGACAGGGACTTAATCCCTATTAGAACAGTACAGTACAATACAGGTACAGTCAGTCTATACAAAAATAGAGACGGAAAGGATGAATGTAAAACACCCCAAAAAGCCCTAGCTTGAAGGACTTGGAACCTCTCATTGAGGCACAGTGGTTGGCTTGACAAAACTGGAGCTTAACCCCGACGCTTCTAGCCGCGGTCTAGTGCCTGTACACCTACATATATATATTAACGTAATGCGTAAAGAGGTTAAGAATGAATGTCCTTACAGTAATGAAAATAGTTCGTTAATTCAGTATATCAGTTATTCAGTCATATGTGGTACATCCATTAGCATAACAGTACAGTGAACAGTAGGTCTTAAAAGACCGAACAGTAAATGATGGCCATCAATCAGTATATATATATGAGCAGTGAGCTAAAGCCCAGTGAATAACGTAATGCGTAAAGAGGTTAAGAATGAATGTCCTTACAGTAATGAAAATAGTTCGTTAATTCAGGCCTCGTTTGGCAAGAGGCTATTTTAGCCAAAAAGCTAAAAAGTTACTAAAAAAGCCAAAAAGCCAACAACTCATACCAAAAAGTCAAAGATTCTCTTTCTCTCTACTTTTTGCACATCTTTTCGTAAAAAGCCAAAAAGTCATCCCAAACATACTAGTTTTTTTTACATCACATTTTAGCCAACTAGCCAAAAAGTTACTAAATTAGCCTGTTCCCAAACGAGGCCTCAGTATATCAGTTATTCAGTCATATGTGGTACATCCATTAGCATAACAGTACAGTGAACAGTAGGTCTTAAAAGACCGAACAGTAAATGATGGCCATCAACCAGTAAACAGTAGTGGTTCCAACAAGGGAACCGACAGAGATCTCTGTAACAGTAACAGTAAACAGTAGTTGCTAAGGATACCACAATACAGTTTAGAATATAGGACATATATTAATTCAATTAACAGTATCAGTTCAGAAAGTAGTACAGTTCGATTGTTCAGAAGATAATCATTTTGAACATACCTTTACACAGTTGTTACTCACAGAGTTCTGGGCTACAATAAAGCTAGAGCGCGTCCCCAGTCGCCAACCTTACACAGTTACAGATTGAACACACACTAAGCTACACAGTTGGGAAAATAATAACTTAGTCCCTAATTTTCCTCGGTGTGTTCTACATCTATATCCTCATTAAGATGCCTTAAACTAGGCCTAATAATGCCTAGGATGAGATGAGGATGCAAAGATGCACTTTAAAAGCATTTTTAGAATTTTCAGAAAACAGGGGTCACGCTCGAGCGTAGGTTACTCCGCTCGAGCGAACATGCAGACAAAGGTTTCTGCTCGAGCGTAGACTTACCCGCTCAAGCGTTCTGCAAAACAGTCAAAAGTGCTGGATAGGTGAAAATCACGCTTGATTGGGCGCTCGACACTCGCTCGAGCATGAGACACAATGTCCCACTCGAGTGTCAATTATTCCGCTCGAGTGGACATCAAAACAGTGCAAAGTACTAGGAGCACGAATTTCACGCTCGAGCGCCAGTCACACCGCTCGAGCGTGAGTTCAAAATTTGAAATTTCCAGATTTGAACCTCAAGCTCAAATTCAACTTTTAAAACATAAGTTTCAAT